AAAACATTGTGCAATTTAGAAATTGTAAATTATTATATATACCTAGCTGACCCGGCGAACGTTGATTCGCCTTTCAATTAATTTTCCTGGCTCAGCCTAGTTATAATATTTGTTGTTATTCAACTTAACCTTTAGCATTTTAATGCGAAAATTATTTTGAATTGATTTTTTCTTTTGATCTACAAAAAGTCCACATGCATTACTTATGTTACAAATATTTTCATGTTACTTCAAATCCTTATAAGCACAACATTTTAAATGAAAAAAGGTTATTGTTTATCACTTCATCAGACTAAGCAATTATTGACCTCAGATCTGCATACCTCCCCGAGGAGCCTGGAACCATTCAGAGATTTGATAACGCGGTGTTGGTAAGTCTGTCAGATTTCGCAAATAATTTCACCGCAGCATGATTATAGGTGAGCCAATTTTTAATCTTAAGTTATATGGTAGCATTCCTGGTTTGTATAGTTGTCGTTTAGCAGTCTGTTTGAAACGGTATTGAACAACTGGACCAACTGGTTGTGATTTTTTAAAAACGGTTCTAAAATACTCACAATTTCTTGCTGCTCCATCTGCTCGATATGGTTGTACTGGCAACGTGCGTTTATTTGCTGCTTCTCATCACCCATGAAGTAGATTTGCAGAAATTTGGGATCGTTATTGGACATCGGCATTAAAGAACCAATTTGGTGATACACTTGGCTCTGAATCTTAAACGTTGATTGAAAATTGCGACCATTCTCATTCTGAACGATTTTTGTTGTTCCAAATGATGTCACTTGAAAGCACGAATTGAATTTGCGAATTTTACGAAAAAACAATTTAGATTGAGATGTAGGTTCAGCCAATAGTGCTTTCAATGGTTCTAACGGCGAATTCAATGGTGGCAATACAAATTTTCCAGATGCGCCGCAGAAATCAGCCAATTCACCTTTGTATTTGTGTGCATGACAGTGTTGGCACTGTTTGTTCATAGCACCGATTACAATTCGTGAATGTGATGAATAGTCGGTATCCGATTCATATTTAAACGCAATGCGATGAAATGATACACGTGTCAATTCCCGATACACTTGCAAACGCCGTTGTTCACGTGTTCTGAATGTGTCGGTGACTCGTTGACGGGCCAGTCTTTGTCTCAATGCATTACCTCGAAGGCGTTCGTTGCTCTTGCTCTTGACTTTCATTAGCACGTGTGATTGTATCCTGGTTTCTTACATTTTCATTGTTTTCTGCCGATCTATTCAACCGACGGTTCTGGAGTAATTGTGAATTCCGAATCCGTCGTCCATTATTTCTTTCTCGTCCACGAAGACGTGGCATTGTTTTTTGTACGTTATTTATATCTTTATATATATAATTCTTCTTTTTTGTGTGTGTTCATGTGAATTCAAGGATTCACAATTTGGTCCACTGGATAACGTTTTTTTAATTATTATACAGTTTTTTGGTATCCATATACATTTGTTTAAAAAGTTTAAACTCTAAAATGAATCGTTCAACTATCCTGTTGAATTTTTGAATTCGCTGGAGTTTCCAGGAATGCCACCACATAACTTAAGATTAAAAATTGGCTCACCTTTAATTATACTGCGGAATTTAAATGCATTTAAGCTATGCAACGGCAGTTTTACGATTCATTTTAGTGATTTTAAACTTTTTAAACAAATCAAAGTAAGCGTGAATAAATTTTAAATTTCTAATATAAATGTATATGGATACCAAAAAATAAAAAATTAATTAAAAAGACATTATCCAGTGCGCCAAATTGTGAATCTAAACCTTCCTTCAATGCACTTGAACACACACAAAAAATTTCATCAAAATCGGTTCAGTCGTTTAGGAGGAGTTCACTGTCAACACACGTACAGAAGAAATATATATATAAGATATCAAAATATATATCAATGGTTAGAATTAACACAGGATACTTTTTTAATTAGCTTTGTAAGAAGAAAACTTGCGATGCATAGAGCAAGTAGTGTGTGTACCAACAATAGCATTGTTATTTTTTTCATAATGTAAATTGATGAAATGCTCCATTTTACATTCTTCTCAAGTCCTTAGCAAAACAGCTAACACAGAGATATGCTGTTAAGCTTTTTTTTTTTGATTTGAGACCGCATATTTATGAACTATTCACCTCTGTAACCGAAGGTTGTTTTGCTTAGCCGATAGTAATTACTCTTCAGATTACTGTATTGTTAGTGGCAGCGAGTGCCTTGACTGTCAGTTTGGTCGATTAAGGGCCTGGAACCCTTAGGGGTGATTGTTTCTACATCGTGTGTCTTAAAACCGAGTACCTTGGACTTGTGTGTTCTTGTAGATAAACGCCTGGTTTCTGTACTTGAATGATTGGGTCTCCTCTCTCTGTCAGTCACAAATCGAGTACTGCTTGAACGTTCTGTCAGATTAAGCGGCTTCTAGTGCCTTGTGTTGAGCTATGTTGCTATCTTTGTCTCAATAACGGCGTACCCTTGACTGGGAAGTTCTGTAAGATAAGAGTCTTCTTAACTCGATTTGGAGTAATTTTTCCGGTCAAGGACGAGTTGTTCCTGGTATTTTCGTGTTGTAGTCTCATTTTATAATAAACGGCTTTCGAAATTTATTCAATTATTAATAAAATACTTAATAGTGAACCTATGAATACTAAATATTTCAGAAACTATCTCAGTTCAAATAACTGAACTTTTATACCAAATCATTGTCAATTAAATATTCTTTAATGCAGAATCCATTTTCAACATTTACCAAGATATAATGTAACAAAAAAGCGCGTCCACTGAATATATAACTTAAAAATGGACAATTCAAATAGTTTTATTTGCATAACAATTTTAAGTTAGTTAAATATAACTGAATTTAATAATTAATACGTTCTAAGACTCAAGTGGGTTTTGATATTATAAAAATTTGAAAATGTTTATTTTTTCAAATACGGCTTTGGGTCAGTTGGTTAAGGAGCGCTGACTCTGAGTTTCAAATTTGGCAGGACACGAGTTCGATTTCTGGTACTTGCAGTCTCAAAAAATTATTTACGAATGATTTAATACAAAAATTATTTCCAAGACAACTGATGATGGGTATTTGGCAATACTCGAAACAGCTGTATGGTCAGCCAAAAATTCAATTAATTAAAATAATATAAAAATGAATTTTTGTTGTTGTAGTTCACTACTTTTTGAAATCTCTTTACGAAATAAGTTGTATTAAAAATAAATACTGAGCTTGATTTTTGCATAGCAAAAGAAAATAATTTATAAAATTTCCACAATCATTTATTTTTCTGTAAACAATGTATCTAAGCCTTTAATCCATTAATGTAGTATTAGTCATATGAAATAGCAACTCATCCCACATTCAATTTTAATCCTAATAAATTCAAATTCATTTCTAAAATATATATTCTACTTATAGTAGATATCTCAGTTGATATTGAAATATATTAACAAGAGCTAATAAAAATATTAGAATGCTACATTTTTTATGAATGATTTAAGCAAATATCATGTAAAGTCATAAACTGCAAATGACCTATGGGGAGCCATAGAGGAAAACAAATAAAACTTTGTAAACAACGATATGATCCCAAGCTTCCCCGAATGAATGAAAAAACCATAGATAGAACGTAGTTATGTGGAAGCACATGGTCAACAGATGTTAAGCATTTCCAACAGGCAGTCAATGCCAATAACAACAAATCACTCAATGTTCTTACGGCTTTGGCTGAAATGCCAAACTGAACGCAAACAAAAAATGGACTGTTTTAATCCGATGAATGTGCAATGCATACTAAAACGCATTTTGCGGCACGTTTGGATGTTGCTTTGGTTAGGAACCAGATTTTTTTATTCGCCTTCTCTCAAATTTATTACCTTTCTAAACTTTGGTTTTTATGCTCATATTTCCTTTTATGGTTTTTTCTTTATGAAGTTACATCCTTTCTTCGGTTATAAATGACTCATATCTATCTGACTTACCAACAATGTTCAGATACACTGAATGCCCAATCGGTGGTGTTGTTGAAATTTGACACTCATAGATGCCGGAATCTTTGCGTTGTGCATAGCGTATACGCAATGTCCAATCTTCGGCATGTGGTGAATGCATTGCTTCGAAGCGCTGATCAGATGTGTAGGTGTAACGTCCAACTGTCAACAGATGAATGTCACGATGACGTACCCAAGAGACCTGAAAGGATAAGAGAAAATAAAGATAAAGATAAAAATAAATAAATGCTAAGTAAATGGTCGTATTTTGATTGTTGGCTATATAGTATGTGTTATTGTTTTGCTTTGGTTCACATTACTTTGTTTTGAATTGATGAATGATAAAAATCTTGTTCACATGACATATGTCCCTCGGTGCAAAAACAATTTTGATATATTCAAATGTTGTATCAATTGAATTTCAAATGATTTAGGAAGTTTTTATTGTCTTTTCGTTCAATGTAACATAAAAAACCTCAAGTATATTTAAGTAAAATAGATCAATAGAATAATTATTCTATTCTATTAATCAAAAAGATAAACTTTTAAATGAACACTTAAATAAATTAACAAAATTCCTTTCGATTTCGAAACAGTTTTTTAAATATTACAGTTGTAACTGTAGTCGGTAAAACCATTTAGCTAATTTAAATGGATGTAAATTCAATAAAGTCTTATTGATTTATACCATATGGATTAAGATTTCTATAAAGAGTAGTAGAGGGCATCATCCAAAATGTCAAATAAAAGGATGCTTGAAGCTCTTTTCAGAAGACATGAGCTAACTTTACAATATTAAAGTTAAATCTAGACTCATGTCCACCTAATGCAACAATTTTGCTTCGAGAGCTGGGATGTAGCTTTCCCTATTCCACTACCTTAATGTGATAAAACCTGGTTTCCAATAATTTAGCTCCAATAACTGAGAAGTAGTTGCAAGAAAGTTGTAGAGAATAGCTAAAGTGAGCTTTGCTGAATTTAGCTGTAGCATAAATTAAAAGAAATATGATACTCAATTAAATCGCAATACTTCTAATAATGTAAACATTATTATAATATTAAAAATCTTTCCGATTGATTTTTTGTTTTGTTTTAAAGTCCTTTCTACAGTATCCTCCTAATGCATATTAGTGTGAAGCACATTCTATTCTCTTCAGTTATATAATGATGTGCTTAATCGCTCTATGAGTCCTGTCTATGCTCTATAGACAACACGTATTGAAGAAACCCTCCAATCAATTTTAAAATTTTAAACCATAACTGAGACTCTATGTAGTGAGCTCGTTTTAACACCACAAAGAATTTGTACTTAAAGCATGATAACTACTTACAGAAGCTTTGAACACGATTATTTCTATTTTAGATCTAGAAATCACCGTGTAAAATAACCTATAATTTTTATACGGAAAGTCATAGTACGTAGTCATCTGAAAAGTCCCAGGACTAACACTGTAGTTAACCAACAATTTGTTTCCTATTTAATCAACACATCTTTATATACCGCAAATACTGAATACTGACACTGAAATAATGGGTAACAATTCCTTTAATTGGAGAGAATCTCTATTTGGTCGTTATGGATATATGCATTATGTATATGAGTAGCAGTACAAAAAAATATGTAAAAATTTATGTTAAAAATAATATAACACTGCGTTTTTTCCGAAAGATTATTTATTAATTAAAAACGATTCAATTTTTCTAAGTCCGAGTATTAAAAATCAGGTTTTTTGGTATTAAATATAAATTTTGTTCTTTCGAGTTTTCTTTATGAACTTGCTTTCTCCAAACCATTTAACCAACTCTTCCAATGCCTGATTCATACAAGAAACTCTTCCATCAATTATTTAAGCTTATTCATTAACTTCGACATTATTTTGTTCGTTTGGTGGAAATTGAATTTCTATTATAATGCCTCTATCGTCGACATCATTGAGATCGTCTTCAATGTTATCTGGGTTCTCTATTTCTAGCTCTTCATCAAAAATGGGATAATTAAAATCTCCAGCTGCGGTAAAGTCGGTTTCTATTTGATCAGTTGAGGGATTTACACCTAACATTTCATTTAACACATTATTAGCTCTTAGTCCAGGGTCTGCAGTGATTTTTGATACAAGAGAATAAAGAACGTCTGTTTCGCTTACATTTGAATTTCGTATGTAAAACTTTATAACTTGGTTATAATTAAAGGGCTCTGGACTAACTTGCTCGATTAAATGGTGTAAAATATGAGGATATATTTGTTGTAGCATCTCACTAGTAATAGGAACTGGTTCACTGTAAATACTTTCATCATCATCACCATTTGCATTATTTAAATTAATTAAACCAGATCGACTACGAAGTTGCTGTTGCCATATAAAAGGACCATCATCACCATTGTCCATATCAAGACGTACCACAATATCGGGTAAGCTTTCTTCAGAGAGTCTATCTGTTGGTATAAGTAATGACAAATTACTAGGATTACGATTCTCAGTTCGACGTGGCCAAAATAGTTGATGGCCTTGTCTTCTATACCTAGTAGCAGTGCTTGCGGATGCAATTTCATCATGATTTGACAATGAATTTAATCTATTATGGTTCATATGCCCATTTTCACCACTGAACGAACTTGGATGATTCTGTCGACGATCAGTATTACTTCGCAAACCAGTGTCACCAAATATATTGCGGACTTCTGAAAGAGTAAGCAACTCATGATAGGATTCTACATTTCTTTGGTCAGCTTGCGGGGAACGACTTCTGCTCATAAGTCGATGGTTATAGCGATTATAACTAAGGAAATGACGATTATTTGATCGCCTTCTACGTGTAGGTATGTTGCTGGAGTATACAGTTTCGTTAGATGGATCGAATCTGTCTAAATCCCTTTGAGCATCACGGCCGATTCGACCTCTGAGAAAACGTTGACGACCATAACGATTATACCTACGGCTATTCAAATCGACATAGCTAGAGGGTGTAACTTCATTGCGAGATGGACTAGCATCAAGTAATTCGTTTGATTGATGCGAATATAAATTGCTTTGACCAACTTGTTCAGTTCGATTATTGTTTAAACGTCGAATGCGACGAACGTTGTGCCTACCGTTGTAAATGAGATTTCTCCATTGACTGATATGTATTGTGGTTCTGTTACGAGATGCAGGCTCATCGTTAAGGTGC